GTTAGAATCATCACCATATCGTGCAGATGGACGCAACATATCGTCTGCCTCCGAAATGAAGACAGACAAATAACAAGAAAGTGGAGAGGCAGCACACAGCAAAAAAACTAAGCTGAAGTTTTAGCAGCGTGTATGAAGCACGAACCTCAGAGAAGCATCATCCATTTTAAAACCCAATCGACAAGGACATGTTAGGTCTTTCACAGCTATACAACCTGGGTCAACCTACAGAGGCATTTAGTTAGCGTTTTTGTTGTTCGGCAGGAAACCATCCCAGTGGTTGGCTATAGGGTGAGCAGAGACCGAGCAGATGCAGCACTAGACTGTGAAAAACGGCTGACGGGAACAAAATGGGCGAGCGCAAGTTCCACGGCTGCTATATCGATGACTCTATTAACCGCACGCCGCCGGTCATGCCACAGAAGCAGTCCTGAAACCACAGAGTGCTGTGTTTTGGAGGAGGTAAAACGGCTAATGAAATTCAAAACCCATTTGAAACTCCTTCTGGAGTTCACCATTGAAAGGAATGTGCAGAGAGCCCCCAAGGCACACCACATCGCACCATAAATTATCATTTTCTACTGCACTCAGTCAACGGCAGAGCCTTGAGCGACATTAAGCCAAGTAGTACGGACACCCGCAAGACCTTCGTAACGTACTTTGGATGGAGCATTCCATCACGTCTACCAAAATCTTCACATAACCACATTGACATCTTAGCCATCCAGAAATGGTGCCAAAGCGGTGTTATCTTTAGGGAAATTCAAAAGATGGCCCAGTCCTGTTAGTTCGCGAGGAATGAAGGCGCAATCGACTGGTTGTGCTTCTGACCGACACTGTATCTGCTCGTTGGACACGCGAGAAGAGACGAATTCAGAATAACTACGTACACTGTCCGGAAGGTGAGAACCTTCTAAAGGTACAATAATCTCCAACATTTCCAGAGAAGGGTTGGCTTCCCAGACCTTACTCCCCTCATCGACCCCACTAGGATATAAATGAGATTGACGGAGACAAAATGGATTCGCAAGCGACTGTCGGATCGTAAATTTCCAGTTGCCCTCTGCGGTGGAAGAAAGCGTGACCCAGGTTAACAGGAGCTGCCCACTAAGCGGTGAACTTCACCGTTTACCTTAAAGCTCATTGCAACTGCTTTAGCGCCTATCTGGGATGGTACAGGCTATGCCCTTGCATCAAAATGCATTCACATGCCTTCAAGTAGGTGATCGTCGCGGTCATAAGCCAACAGCACGTATGCTAAAACGGACGGCACTCATACGTCCGACCGATACGCAAAACAAGATCCTTACCGTGAATCCGCCTCTCGATATTCGTGGGGCTAAGGACCACAGCTACCCACGAATAATTGATAGTTACCCACACCTGAGACCCCTCTATAACGCTTATAACTGCCTATTATAAAGTTCTAATACCACATCACTTCTAAGAAATCTTACAATATTTTGCTATCATAAAAAATGCATTTATTCTCGAAAAATGAAAATAATTAGCGAATATGTTAAGTACGTCCTACGAAAGAAAAACCCACAAAAATACGGGGGAGAAGGTAAACTACATATCATTTTAGGGGCAGAACACACATGCAAGCTAAAAATCAATGAATGAGGTGGACAGAAATGCTTACACCAGTGGTGTCGTCTTTTGTGGAAGCGATCCTCTGAACGAGACTTGCAACTTTTTGGTGATTCTCCGGAGAAAGGACCGCAGTCTACAAAGGAAGAAAAGTGGGAGAAATAAACCAAGGCTGGCCACCTTCTACCAAGCCTCATAATTGCCGGTCTGATTCAAAGTACAGGGCATTAACTTTGTGATGATCGTGAAACACCGTGCAATGTACCGAGATGTCAAGAGGTGTTGATCATTTACTGCTAATGGTTTACACACAAATGGCCCTGCATACGATGCAGTGTGTTGCAACAACGACAAACAGACAGTATCACACTGAGGGGAACCAAGTAAATAAATTGATAATATGTCCGGACTTGCCTTGATCGGAGAGGAAGCGTTCTTGAGGGTGGGCTGGAGCGCAGGTGGAAGCCGCGTGCCACTGTTCGACAGCGACTTCAGGGTCCGAATCAGATAGGACTCCAGCTCCGAGTCTTCCTATTAAGGGAGCGGGAGAGGGCCATAAGAAAAAAAGGGTCAGGAAACAGTCAGTAGTACACAAATAGTTCACGCTTATTGGTCAACTAGATGCTGAGCTTGTGCTTTTTTTAAACTGATCTTTATCTTTTCAAAACTGAATAAATTTACAAGGATGATTTGATGCCAGATTCCAGCTGCTGAATGAAATGTACACTGCAGTAACACACAAGTTTTCCGAAAAGTCTCCTTTACACGATGACGGACAATTTTAGGCTGAGGCCATGATAAAACACGCTGTTCAGACGTCTGCACGTCCTGACGGGGGACCAAGTCTCGAGCTTACTGTTCAGTTTAGCAGTCGAGAAAAAAAACATTCATAGACCATAGCTCCATGAATTATGTCAAAATTAGTGCGCACGCTCTCTTAAAACCCAATTATTCATATGAGTACCTCAGGTATTTTCAAGTTGTGCACCAATCACACCCAACAGCGCGTTGTCGGTTGCCTCTTCAAGGCGATCGAACCAAAATCGACACACCACTCAGAACGAAACTAGGCCTAGGAGTTCACTTGTGAAAATTTCCGCATATCACACCACGAGTTGTTGATTGAGGCGGCACCGTTGACATCAGACAGCGACAGGACGGAAACTCAAAGCGCAGTCACTGATGAGCTATCGTAAGGGTGACACGTATGCTAGGCGTTACTATCAGGGAAAGACCGCTTAAGGTTGTAGAGGACTAGTCAAATTCCAGGCACGCAAACTTCTGAAAGTTTTTTTTTTCACAGACATCCCACAGAGCATAAACCGGATAATGAACTGTGCGGTGCGCAGGTCAGGATAGTTTGTTAGGTCTTCAGCTTGGGAGTCGGATAAAGCAATGTCGGTGGTGACTGCGTAAGCAACCCGTAATGAAGAGAGGGTTGCATTGCGACGACACTTCTGTCGGCATTGTCAAAAGCAGATCTTTTTTGCCCACTAAACAAACTCACAGAGACAGTATGCAATACTCACACCAGGAGTTGCTGAGTAAGGCGACACTGTTGACATCACGCAGTAAAAGGATGGAAATTCCAAACGTAGTCACTGAAGAGCTGTGGTGACGGTGAAACGTATGCTGGGCGCTACCGCCAGGGAAAGACGGCTAAAGGTCGTAGAGGACTAGTCAAATTCCAGGCACGCAAACTTTTGAAAGTATTGCTAAAAAATTGCTTGATTCACTGACATGCCACAGAAGGCCAGCTAAATAATGAACTGTGTGGGTCGCACGTCGGGCTGGTTTGCGAGATCTTCAGCTCGGGAGTCGAATAAAACCATGTCCGTAGGGACTGTGTAAGCAGAGAGGAGAGATGTGTTGCAACTGGACTCCTATCGGCATCATCAAAAGCAGTTATTTTCGTCCGTCAGCTTAACTATCCGAAGAAATATGCAATAGCAAAAAATGCAAGATACACGCAATTTCTAGAGCTATTTTAGAACTGTTAACGGTCTCAAAGGCCTTTTAAAGAAAGGGCGGTTGTTGCCTGAGTTTCAAAAAAGGACGTACTGCAAATCTCGAAGCTCCGTGAGTTAAGGTTGTTCGCTTTTGAGTAGCACCCCGGGATGGCTGACAAAATAACGTTTTTACCTACCGAAAGGTATTTTTCCAAGTGTCGAAGCAGCATCTGCCGAAGTGCAGTTCACATGTGAGTAAAGGGAATGAAAACACATCGATCCCTCTTCAACGAGCAACCTTGAAAATACACACGCTGGTCTCCCAAATCCCCGTAGGACAGCTCACTCTTCAATTTCAAAACCGGATTGTTACCAGATTTAAAGTAATGTTATGCATTCAAGCGCACCTACGACGGTAGGTATTAGCGGTAGATGGAATACATGTAGGATCCGGTGTCAAACCCAAACCAGTAAAACATTCACCTTGTCAAGAGCGAATATAACCGGACGGACTATGGTAGCTAAGACAGAAATTTTAACTTGTGGGTCATTCCCTTTCAGAAAAAAAACAGGGCTCCGCCGACTGCAGAGGTTCTGAAGGAGCCCCAGATAAGTGACGCACCTTGTTGGGGATGGAATCCACGTACTTCAGGATGCCGGGCCCGCGCACGACACAGAAGGTATGCAGCATGGTCTTTATGGTGCGCAGAGGCACGTCGGACTTGCGCATCTTCCAGGAGGGCGAAGGAAAAGCCTTCAGGAAGTTGTGACAGTCAATGAGGATGACATCAAAGGCG